ACATCATTTATCAAGAAAACCCTCAACTATAAACTAAACTTACTGCAGACCGAGAGTGGGTTAACTATAGGAGAGCTTGATAATTTGTACGATAGTAAAGTAGAGAGCTTACTGAGGTTTGCTTTCTATAATTTTTTTTAAGTATTTATATAGAATATTGCTAATAGTGTAAAAAAACTTTACTAACTTTTCATTGTACAAAAAAGTAAAAAAAATTTAACTAGCTTATATGTTACGATTATTTTTTGAAAAATTAGATATCCGTATGACAACTTGCTTACAGATCTTTGTCTTTTTTTGCCTTCTTCCATGTCTTCCTGCAGGTTTTTTATATTATTATATTTCTTACTGGGTTATATCGCTCCTTTTATATAGTTTTAAAAATCCAACTTATAGCGAAATAGAAAATAAGGTAGCTGTGTGCCTACTTCTACAAAAGTCGCTATTTATTCTTTTTGGCGAAACTGAAGGAAATTTTTTAACCACTCTTGTAAATAATTCTGAGAATTTTTAATAAAACACTTTGACTAATTTGAAAGCACCTGTAAGAGTTTGTAAACTTGTGCATACCTCGACTAATCTTTATGAGAATTGGCACCAGACTTTAACGCCCAGTAGTTATAAATCCTTTACGGGTTATTAGATAAATTCATAATTAAGGTTCTATAGTACTTTTGCAAAAAAAAATTAACTTTAATAATATTTTGTAGTAGTTTTCAAATATTCATTACAAAGTTGTTCCCTAACACTAGGCCATTTATTAAAAGCAGAACTTAACTTTTTATTGTAGCGCTTACTTAAAATTCTAGGAGGTACATAGCAAACTTTATAAACTTGCCTTCCGCATCCAGTCTCTCCGGATTATAGTGAACTGATAATTTCAAGATTTTAATTTCCCGGGGGTTAGCTCTTATTTGGTGACTTATTAAAATAGCGGGTAGCCCCGTCTCTAAACTTTTAAACATTCAAACGCAACAAAGGATTCTTAATAGTCTGTAGTGCGGTGGGTGGTGAACTTAACGTGCACAACAAGCTAAACAGGTGTTATAGTAATAAAAAAAAATGTTTAGAGTTTTTTTGGCTTAAACCTTTGCAAAGTACGATCCATATGCTAAAACTGTTAGCGCGTAGTCTACGTATGCTTTTATAATTTGTGCTTTACCAATCTCAAAGATTGGCCTTCAAGAAAATCTGCAACTTTTAACCACAGCGACGACATCTTCACAGGCTATCTTTCCGCTTTTGATTAGAAACTACTTTTTCACAAGTGTTAGCCTTAAAAAAATATATATTTAAAGTGTAAGAATAAAGACAAACAGTGAATAAAAATATAATAATAAAGAAAAAAAAGAAATTAGAAGGTTTTCTGTATATATGACTCAACTTATAAGAATTCTATTGAAGAGATCAACTGCCTTATTTTTGAGACGCTTGACAAGGAGTATAACAATTATTTAGGTCTGCACGTAGTCTATATGACGAGATAAAAAGATATACAGGGAAAAAAAACAACCAACAAAAAAATTTACCTCCATTTAGTCTATAAATTCAGTTGTAATATTATAAATATGCTCAATTATGGTTTAGAAAAGCAATAGGAAACAACCAATTTTATAACAATCTGTAATTTTATTTGTGATATGCCTTCTCTCGTATTTAAAGTATCTAGTTTACTTTTTGTTCAGCGTCCACCTAAGTATTTTGTCTTATGGTCTTCTGCTCACACCTTGTACATGGAATTGTTTGACAGGAATGCTATATATATTCATCTTCTATAAGCCAGAAATTCAAAAAGATAGTACAAACCCATCTTAGGTCTAGTGCTATATCCGTAAAGGGTATTAAGGGGCACTGGCCGATGCAATTGTGTTGTTCGTATCATTGGTTGCTATAATTACCATGACATCAGCTTATTTACAGCAACTCAGTTCAATTCGAGAAGCACTCCTAAGCAAAAGAGTAACAACGATTATAGGCATAGTGGGACCCGTAGAGACGATACGCTAGTATATCCATAGTAGGTAAAATCTACTATTCGACGACAGTGCATGTCTACAACACAACCCCTACAACAGAGAGAGTTAGTCCCTTATGTAAAGCAATAATTTACTCCGTACGTAAACTCAACCTAAGTGTCTTTGAGAGGTATATTTTAATTCTGAGCGCTTCCAGACTAAGCCCGACGACCATAACCATAATTATTAAAGTTTAAAGTCTAACACAATAACACAGTATAACACAACACCTAAAACACAATTTAAAACACATACAAAAACACAAATAGAAAAACAAAAATAAACATAGATTACAAAAAACTTATTGTATAATACCTTAAGTATACAACCATAAAGACAACAATACAAACACAAAACACTAACCCTCTAACTTTTCACAGAAAAAATGACCCGTGAGTAACCCAATCAGAAACCTGAGAAACAACCAATAAAAATACAAGAAAAGAGCAATTAATATTTCAACACAAATTTAATTTAACTAAACAAAGTATAATTTTTTATCTGGTTCAAGTAAATTTATTGTACATATATGGAAGCGCATTTCGACTTCTGTAAAAGTATAAATACAAACCGAAACTGGTCATAAAAGTATCCTTGATAATATACTTCTTTACATACATTTCTTAGACAAATCTTGAGTATGTCTAAAGCAATTCCCAGTGAATATTTTAGTGCACCCAGCCTTAATAGCTAGCGAAATTGAGAGTTACTAAACAAATTAGGTTTATTAGCAATGACGTCTGACGTGCGCTTAACCCGGGGACGGGCATTAGCCTTGCAGGATCAACGTCACAACCCGAGCAGAATTTGCTTGAAGGCAAGCTAATAAAATCTCGGCAGTTCGCTGAAAACTACCTCTAGACAGTATTTTACTGTAGGCTCCATATTTGTCTGGCATTTTGGGTGTTCAATAATCTATGAGGATTCTCGATATAAATTCTAAATGTATAGTTGGGAAAGTTATCATGTGCATGCCGCTTAGACAAGCAGCTAACAAACTTGCCCAGGAAGTTTTTTTAAAAGAAAGCTCATACTTACGCTAGTAACTCAGCTCCTTGCGTAAAAGAGAGAAGTTGGATAAATTGCATTAAACCATGACCTGATAAACCGAAATTTGCTTAATTACTAGGATTTGCGTTACTCAGGTTCTTTTTCACTGGTTTTGGACGACTTTAATCATGCGAAACACCTTGTTACGACTTAAAAATGTTATACACCATTAGTCACCTTAATGCAAATTTTGTAAAGTACCTTAGAAGTCCCCGCCGAGATGAAGGAAAAAAGTATTTAGGTAGATCTGCTAATAAAGGCATAAAAAATTCATAGATAATTTCATCTCTTAGAGCCGAAATTACAACTAGGAATTCTTTTTTTAAAGATTTTTATCTAATATTTACATATTAGAACTGCAAAAGGGGTTTTCTTATTAAGGATTTTTACTTTTGTATAAGTTCCAGCACACTAGTAAGTGGAGGCTCACCTTAAGGGAACAGGAATTCATTTATAAAGAAAGTTGAAGATCAATTTCCTATTTATTTATAAATGACAGTTCGCATACGAGTTCTCAAACGGGAGTGACCGCACCCATATTACAAAAACTTTTAATCGATTTTCTTGACATTAACAATCAAAAACTAGCTCTTAGGCGCGTCACGTGAACTGCGATAATGTTCACCATCCCAAGGTTCGTACTTAAGTTCGTTACCCACAAGCGATAATGTGCCTGGCTAGTCGATCATAAAGGGCACTGGCACTGCGTTGGAACACGACGTCTAAAGGGTGTACCTATAGGCCTCAAATAAAAATCATGTCACAAAAACCGGAGCGCTTAGTTCTGTGGCACTTGGGGTGCCAACACTTATTGCAGTGGAGTCGAAGACCTAAGCAGCAGACGCGTGTCATTAGTGGCTGGATTTAAGACTTATACAAGGGCCGCGCAGAGAGAAGACTAATTTATTTATCTTAAAAGTAAAACAGGAAGTCATCAATATAAAAAGTCAATTGAAATAAAATTTATTTAAATAAAACTTGACCGCCGTTGACAGTATTTGTAGCATATTAATTTACTATAGCGTCAAAAAAGAATTTTTTAATAGTAAGATTGCCTTTAAGCTACAACAAAAAGCTGGCCTTAAAAATTTTAAACTCGCTCTGTTTTAAAACGATGCGTAAAGGTATTAAATCTATAAGTACGCGTTAACAGATTAACAAGATACGGGTGACTGGTCGATAATATAATAAAGTTTACATGGCTAACTGCCAACTTCTACACTTTTGTGCCACACCGAAACTTCTAAAGCTTTTTTAAATTTTTTTTTCAAATTATTATAGTCAGTTTAATTAGATTTGGTAGCGGTAAAGATATTCTCTTCATTTTTCTTATCCTCTTATTTTCTACACTAAACCCCTTATTGAAGTTATAATAAAAAATATTCAAGTTTTGCTGCGGGCGAAGCTATAAAAGGGTACAAGGTCATTTACTAAAATTTTTAAATTGTTGTGTAGGCTCAATAATAGTAAAACATAAAAAAAGTAGTTAAAAATGGCAAGTAGAGAATATTCTTAACCTTTTAAAAAACTTTTTTTTCAATAAAGTTTTTCTTTCTCTAAATTTGGATACAATGCATTAGACAACTCCAATTTAGGGGAAGGCCTTTTTTTCTCGTTAAAAACTGCTACTGGTAAATGCTGATGTAAAGCTTTTGTATGGATTACTGGTCGCGCATTTCCTTTCCTGAAGGCGTTTAGGTTTTAACTCTTCAGGCAAATTGATTGGACAAGCTGATTGTTTTTTTACACCACATCAACACGTGTTGACTGGTCTTTAAAGGCGTTTCTTGAATGCATCAACTTATTTTTTCGCAAAGGTGCTTGTTGGTCCACTCTGCTTTTTTTAATATATAGTAGTATATATTGTTTTCATTTTGGTCGTATTGCACGATAAATATACCATGTATCACTATTATAAATATATTTTATAGATTTATTATTTTACTATACTCTGAGAAATGTCTTATATACCCCCCTATCGCCGCCAGCAATTTGCGGAATCTGTAAAGTATTTTATGAAAATTATTTTATAAATTAACTTTATAAAGAGCTTTTTCTTTTGTAGTGTTTCTTCTGAATACCGAGAAAATTCCTATAGTAGGTCGACTGAAGACAACCGTAGAGGTTATTCCATTCCTTTTAAAAGTAATAAAAGATATGGGCCTTCTACAGAGACGGGTTACAGAAGGAATCAGGGCGATTACTCCAACAATAATTATGATAATAACTTTTCGGGTGCTTATAGCCAGCGAGGTCCCGTTAGATATTACAGTCGTAATGGCTCGGCACCTTGGGGAGATCACTTCAGATCTCGTTTAGGTAGTTAGGATCTTGGCGGATTATGAAATTTATTTATTTTCACATATCTATAGAAAATGGTTATAAAACTATAGATCTTAGTAAGATCTGGAAGGTTATAAAACCTCGTAATTCGGCTTTAGAATCTAAATTATTTGGTACTTTAAGTACTGGTATAAATTTTGATAAGTATGAAGATATTCCGGTTGAAGTTGAGGGCGAGGACTGCCCTGAGCCTATACGATCTGTATGTATTATTTATGAATTTTATTTCAAGTATTAATATGCTTGCAAAAATAGTTTGAGGAAGCCGATCTGGCTGAAGTTATACTCGAAAACATTGTTCTTGCTCAATACACGAAGCCAACGCCCGTCCAAAAATATTCTATCCCAATAATAACGCGAGGCAGAGATCTCATGTCTTGCGCCCAGACTGGTTCGGGAAAAACAGCAGCCTTTTTATTGCCTATGCTAAGTAACATTTGGAAGAGCGATCCCCCTCAGCGCCCTCCCTGTAATAATTTTTCGAATTGTAGATGCACCTTTGAATTATTATTATTTTTTCTTGCTTAGCTGAGAGACCCGAGTTACGGACTCAGTACCCTGTCGGTCTTATTTTATCTCCCACTCGAGAATTGGCTATGCAAATACACGAGGAAAGTTTGAAGTTCTCTTACCGTTGCGCGATGCGGTGTTGTGTGCTTTATGGGGGCTCTAATACGAGTTTGCAGCTCAGAGATTTGCACAGAGGTGTTTTAATTAGACTACTGTGGTGCACTGTGTTGCTCAGTTTTATTTGTATTTTAGGATGCCACTTGTTAGTGGCCACTCCGGGACGCTTGGAGGATATGATTCAGCGCGGAAACGTTGATCTTTCTCAAATCCGCTTTCTGGTTCTTGACGAAGCAGGTGCTCTTTAGTGGTGATTATCGTACACCGTCACACGCTACCGCTCTACGCATAGACCGCATGCTGGATATGGGTTTTGAACCGCAGATCCGCGTAATTGTGGAGCGGGAGGGCATGCCGGCGAAGGGCATCCGGCAGACCATGATGTTCAGCGCTACTTTCCCTAAAGTTTCATATTTTCTATTGTAATATTTGTTGAAAACTTTTTTCTACTTGACTGCAAGGACATACAAATTCTCGCTGAAGATTTTTTGACGGACTACGTCTACCTAACGGTAGGCGCACTCGGTTCCGCCTCCGGTAACATTACGCAGGTCGGCACGTCTCATTGTGCTTGTCTTTCTTGATTGAACGTTGTTTTTAAAGGTTGTCCATTGGGTCCACGAGGAAGAGAAGCGCGATCGCCTTCTCGATCTGCTGGACGAGACCAGGGAAGAGGGGGCGCTCACTCTGATCTTCGTGGAGACCAAGAGAGGGGCCGATATCCTGGAGAGATTTCTATGCGGCTCGCACTACCCAGCCATGTCTATTCACGGCGACAAAACCCAGCCCGAGCGCGAACGGGCTTTGCTGGCCTTCCGGGAAGGTCGCTCTCCCGTCTTAGTGGCCACTGCAGTACGCTTTTCTTAGAGCCGCATTTGTTAGAGTTGTAATGTCCTTTTGGAGGTTTGCGCACGTGGAATCGACATTCCTAACGTCAGGCACGTGATAAACTTTGATCTTCCTTCGGAAATTGCCGAGTATACGCGTGCGTTTCCATCGTATTATAACCTACTTTTATTCACGGTGGTCTCGGTCGGGCAGATCGCATTGGGCGAACTGGGCGCGTGGGTAACGTCGGTATGGCGACTTCTTTTTTCAACGAGAAAAACATCAATCTCGCGAAGGATTTGAGTAAGTCGGACCCACTTATATTTAAGGCTCTTCTGATTTGCTTCAATGTTGAAAGGGCTCAAGTTGCTCGAGCAAAACGTCGAGGTCCCGTCGTTTCTGGAGGATATGGCCTTTTCCCCCAGATATAGCAAAAGTCCACACTTCCGCCTGACCACTTCTTATTGGCTTAAATTTTCGTTAATAACAGGATTTACCAATCACTACTCGCGCGGAAGGTCTAACCGCCCCAGTGGCGGATACAACCGCGCTGGAGGTGGCTACAATGGTGGGGGTTATGACAACCCCCGTTACCGCTATGGCGGGCGGGGCGGGTCCTCGAATGGCTCCTGGTTCTAAGCTCCTTTTTGTTTTCTTCAAGTTCAAAGAATGTTTCTGTATATGAAGCACTCCGGCTTCCTTGGAAGGAGGCCGGCTTTATTTTTCTATACATGCTGCATTTATAATCATTAAATGTCTCTTTTTCATAACTGTTTTTTGGAGGAAAGAGCGGACAGGCGATAGTTACTGTTTTATTTATGGTCAGAGTCTTTAGCCGGCTGGCACGTGTAGCTATACATGTTTGCCTAACTATTTACACTTTTTAAAACGCCAATGTAAATTTGAGCTTGTTTATCATCACGTAGTGCCGTCCAGTTCTCTAATGACCTCTTTAAAGCGACTGAAGGACTCTGCCGCCGGACTCGTATACTCCTAAAGCAGCGCGTTAATGTGCAGTAAACAGACCATGTGGTCAAGGCTTGACCTCTCCGACCTCATACAGATAGACAGTGCCGTCTGCATCTCCAACGGTCATGTGCCTCCCAGACGCCGACCAGCGCAGCTTGTTTATCGACGAGGTCTCGCTGACAATAGTGCTAAGTACAGGCGACTAGGAAAGACATGAGTCCCTTCACCACGTGTTATGAATGCGGGTACGTGAGGACCTCGATGTCTCTGTTCATATCCCAGAGGGAAAGCCTCGACGGCCCGTCCGCCGTGGCAAAGGCGCCTGGGTGTGCTGCCCGAGAAGTTAAGCAACAAAAGGAGGCGGGCGTTGGGGCTGTGCGTACTTGGGGACCACTGCACATCGTAGACGTAGTCGTCGGCGTCCTCAAAGGAGTGAATAATCTTTTTGTGCTGCAAAAGTGGAGGCTAAAGAGTTTCAACTTCTTACCACGTGGAATTTTACCTGCAAATTCCAAAGTTTAACGGACCAGTCTGTCGAGGAGGACAGAAGGTAGTTAGGGAAGTCCGCCTCGCCGAGTTCTGGGTGATGAGTGACCTGCACAGGAAAAATGCTGAAGGAGCCAATCAATCACTGGGAGGATGAATACGGCAGTCACCGGTCCACAGTGGCCATCCATTGAAGGGGAACACGGCTCCTTGACTTAAAAAAAAGTACATATAAATAATAATACGAGCTGGTGAAAAGGGATCACCCTGCTGTCCTGCATGGCGATTGCCGCAGTAGAGCCGGCCTTCTTCAGTGCCTGCGGGACGCATTAACGGATTGGTTCTACATTGTTTATCATGCCGGGCTGGTATACCGACAACGAAATTGTTCACATCTTTCCCTGAGAAAGACATGGCCGTTACAGCGAGGCCCCGTATTGTTCCTTGCAGCTTAGTAGAAACCTGCCGTGTAGTAATAGAAGATACTGGGAAGCTCAACGACCCGCAAGCGGTTGTACCAGTGGCTCGTGTAGTGCGTCGAAGGTCCACGAGCACATTAGGCCGTCTGTACTGCAGCTGACCTATTAGAACACTATTAGTCAAAGATAAAAGTGATTTGCAGTTCGTACAATATTGTGGGCGTTTGGACTCCCAACAACTTCAAGGCAGAAGACTGGATGGGTGTGCGATTTTGAGGAAGGCGGCGAGCGTTGCACAGGAGTCGCCTTGGTGTCACCAAGTAACCAACAACGACTCGCCTATAATAGAAGCGATAGGAACCTTTGACCTTTTGTCCCAGAGAACCAGTTGCCCCGAATAAGTGCTGCCCACCACAAGGGACGGATGAAACTTTGCAAACTTAGAAGACAACACTGGCGACTTAAAGAAATTCCATAAATAAGGTAGCCGAACCAGCAATAGAAGAGAGACCTGGCAATGGAAAACGTATTCGGGCCTGTCCTTCAAGTGCACGTTCCACACTAAGCAGGCGCCTTGTGGGTCTTCTGTGTCTTCCGCAGGATATTTGGCACCGTATGAGCTTAAGAAAAGTTCCGGAAACTAAAAATGTTTAATGATACGTCGATGTTTACAAACAGGCAAAAGAAAAAAGTAAGTGGAACTTAATTATTTTTGATTTAAGCTAAAATATTGTAAATGGGGCCCAAGTAACGACTGCAACTTCTTATATGCAGCAAACCAACATTACGACTACTAAGATACTTCATTAGGTTTCTATAGGAAGTAAACAAAACCTTGCGGCACCAGTCCAGATCGGTAGAGGGGCGGCGGGTTGTCCACTTTGCACTGTAGTACAACGACCGAAAATTCAAAATTTCAATTGTGGATGCTGTACTGAAATATGAATAAGTACAAATGCTACAGTAAAACTAAAAATATTTTTTTCACTTTTTAATATTTTTTAGAATAAATAGTCTTGAAAGTATAGAGCATTAAATTAAAAAATAAAACTATACTTTTTAAAAATGAAGTTTCATATATTATACTATAAACAATACAAAAGAGCACTTTCATATGAAGTTAAAAAGAATAGAAAATTTGTTTTAATATTTTCCCCTTATGAATTTTTTTAAGTAATAAAGGGTATGGCATCTGGATCTCTTTAAAGTTTACATAGTTGATAAAAAGTTTAATAATTTTTAATATTAAATTGATATACGTATAATTAGAGTGTAACTAATAATATAACTTTTTATTATTTTGTAGCTTTTGTATTTAATTTGTTGAAATAAGATTAAAAAATTGTAGTATAGAAATTAATTATAAACTTAAACAATAAATAACGCAATGTTATATGTTTGGTGATATTTATACTATAAAAAGTTGTTTCTTTCAGTATTTATATTATGCAACCAAAAAAAAATTATAAAGAATATCAAACTTATTAACTTAGTTAACTTAAAATATTTAATAAGTTTCTAAAAAAAAGGCAAGACAGAGATTTTTATAAAAATAAAAGAATTATTTTATACATGAACAAAGTTAATACATAACAGGAAAGTACTAAATATTATCTTTAATCTTTATAAAGCATTAAGATTGATTACACAAATGTATAAAAAAGTTAGATTCATTTCCTTACTGTATTTAAAGTTTGAGAGCTGCATTACATATTCACACAGAATATATAATATTTGTATCGATAAACTTTCAAAACGGAACAGTCAATAAAATAATCGCCAATGGCGTAATGCACAAGACATATGCTTAATTGGACTCGTCTTGGGTTGCCCCGTTCCAAACGACATAACATGACCGTGACGAGAGTTCGGTGCAAATTAATTTTTTGACACAGTTTAGATTATTCTGTACCAAAAAATTATCGTAATTAAGGAAAAATGGTGTTTGTTTCGACACAATTAAGGTTATTCCGTACCAAACTAGTGAAAACGGCACAACCAAAGGGCAATATTTTGAGTCAATAATTTAGTCGTAATATTTTAACGAAAAATTGAGTTTTGTTTATTTGGTTCATTATAAAACAATTGTATCAAAATTTTTAGTATAAAAAAAAGTATTTTTAAAAACGCAATCACATTTGGTAAAACTATGATTTTTCTATAGCCATTCAAAACTACAAGGAGTCCTCCCACGAGAGACAACGCACTCGACTAAAGCAACAAACTTAAATACCTGGAAAAATAACTACAATATTCTTTGGGTAATCAATTATAAAAGATATAATAATTTTATAGTAAATAGGAATCAACTTAAAAAAAAAAAGAAGAAACTTTTCTAATGAGAGAAATATAAAGATTACAAAATTTTCTTTAAATAAATTACACATATAAATTCATTGTAATTAAACTTTTAAGTTAAAAGGAAAAAAAAGTTATGTACAACTCTTCAGCCCCAGAATAATCCTTGACAAAGTCGTATTCAGGGCTCCAGTTTAAGTATCTGAAGCAAAGAAGTGGTTAGTAGAAAAAGAATATCAGTTCGTGACAGAACGAAAAGCTTATTAAAAAAAGTTTTACTTACGTAATATTAGTTAAAAAGAGATTTTTGTTATTTTACAAATGAAAAATAACTTCAACCAATTTAATATAAAATGCTTTAATTTTTAGCATAAATACTTTAGACTAACAAGTTTTGAATGAAAAGCAAAAATTTAATAACCCATATCCTTTGAAAATTAGTTTGCCAAAAAAATATTCTAAATATCTTAAATAAATATAAACTGTTTGCGAAGTCAATAAATAATTTAATGTTATTTATAAAAAAATTACTATGCTGCTTAATACTATATAAGCTACTGTATAACGATCTACCTTCTATTATTTTGTGTTACAGTAGTCAAACAAAAATAAAAAATTAAGAAAGATTTATGCCTTTCAACGAGACGCGTGCTGTAATTTAAAAAGTCTGAATATTCATCCGATCGGAGGATCTGCTCCTTAACGGCTAAAGGAAGATCTACATATTAAGCAATATTTTTTACTTTAAGTAGAAGACCCGTTAAAAAATTAAAAGTACGACCTGATTCTTTTTCTTCCTCACTTTCCATCTCTCTGTTTTCGGAAGAACCCATTAAATTAGGAGCTTCAGGGGAATCCTTGTGTTCAATCATTTGTATAATCTCTAATTTTTCCTGTACAAGCTCATCAACGTATTGGTCAAAAAGTCCAGGGTTCGTTTGACAACCTTTTTAATAAAAATTTTTGGTGGACTTACTTTAATTGATAATAACAGAGTGCCTTTTTGGTAGGAAATCGGGCAGTTCGAAGGGAAAAGGTGAATAGTTGTTTCAGAAATACAAATCCTTTTCGTTATAAAAAGATTTAATTATAAAAGTATATGTTTTGAAATTAAAGACTTTTCTGCTTGAGAAGTTAGTTGTACGAGATGCTCTTCATTTTTTGAAGATTCACAAGTTTTGGAAGCTTCAGAAGTAACAAATAAAACAGAGAATAATAATATTTTTAAATAGATAAGAAAACTTTCAGAAACTTCACTTGCGCCTAAAAGGCTAGTTAATAATTCCTCTACATGTTGTCTCTCTTTTTCTCTTTCTTCGTGTAGAAAAGCACGACAGCTTGTGAGAGGTCCCTTTAGTAAGGTGGAATAAAAAACTTTTAAAACATTCATATTCTAATGTACGTTTATGTTATTTTCTGTTGTAGATTTATTGCTGGCCAACTCCAACCTTTGACGCTTCAATTCCTCAACTTTCTTGCGTCTTTTTTCTATTTCTTCTTTTCTATCTAACATCTTTAAAGTAAAAAAAAAGACGTAAAGGATATTAATTAAAAAAAATTGATCCTATAGAGGCTAGAACGAAAAGAAGCAGTATATATCTACTTCAACATAGGTGGAACACCATATAGAAGAAAAGCTTTTTGAAATTTAAATAAAGGATAGTAGAAACTAATACTAAACTGCACAGCTTGGACAAAAAAACTAATATATATCTTAAACTACTTTACAGGCCACTGTCTTCTAATAATCTCAACACTGCATGTCCAATATCTTTACTAATTAGGCAAGGGCTATTGGTGTACCGTACTGATGGTCCTTACCGCCTCTTCAAACATCCCACTAACAAATAGTATAACAATATTTAAAGGCGTAAGAGTGGTGCCGGTTCCGTAGATCAGCGGTTAGATCGCCCCCATCACACGGGGGAGGCCGCGGGTTCGAGACCCGCCGGGACCTTCTGCGTTTTTATTAGCTTGACGTCCTTTTGTAAAAAGAAAAATGAAAAAAGCAGTGCTTCCCGTTTTTGCCAGGATTTTTAACTTAATGTATTCCTTGGAAGACTTTAAATGCTAAGTGCATAGAACTATATTTACAATACCCCTCCCTGTCGTAATTCAAGTTGATTCTTATAACTCCATTTGTTTCCAGAAGGCTTTTTTTTTGGGTTTTTTTTGGAAAATTCTTAAACTATTAATAATTACCTTATAATATTTAAAAAGATTGGCGTGTATCTGGTATGGTCTTATTATACATAGTAGGCTACGTATTTACCACCTTAACGAACTTGTGCGCCCTTACAAATCTTAGTTATGTATCTAACGGTTTGTCTAACGTTTACATAAAAATTTGAATTGAATATATTTAAATAAGTATTTCAAGAATTAACTCCCTCCTCCCTTAACTTTTCTTGACTGACTTCTTATTAGTATTATTATTAAAAAAGCAATGCAATACTATTCCTTTATTAAATTTTAATATAAAAAATAACTCCAGAGAGCCGGCAACAACTTAGCTAATTAATTTAATAAAAATTTAATAACTGATAAAATTAAAACAAAATAAGTTTGCACTATTTAAACTTGTATTAAAATTTCTTTATAACGAATGCTAAATCTTAAAAAATTTCGTTCTTAGCGCTACTAACTTTTAAAACTAATATCCCCGTTTGTTAACTTTGATAATCAACTGCTTACGTACGGGTCCAGTTATTCCTCCAAATCCACTGGCCCCAAATCTACCAAAATGGGCTATAAACATAGTTGTCAATTGACCATAAACGTTGTGTAGCTCTTGTACATCGCACCTTTTTTTTTATATCGTATTCTTGGAGAAAGAATAGGGAAGTAATGACATTAAATTTTTTAAATTTTAATTTTACTACATTAGTTATACTTTATTTTATTTAATACTAACAATTTTGAAAATACGCAAATTTTTTAAAGTTATTAAGTTATGAAGTTATGATAGGCACCCTCACCATATGCCATAATGCGCTTAAAAAACGGAGATACCGCTAGTAATAATATCAACACAAATAATAATACCAACACAAGCGATAATAGTAACAACAATAGTAATAATTATTATAACAATAGTAACGACAGTAATGATAATTGTAATAGTAATTGCGAGTATCCTTCGATTCGCTTAGTTGAAGTTGCCGAAACACTTTTTCAGCCTGACATTTCAGCAATTAGTGAACCAAGCATTTGCAGCACAACGAATATACCGGCCGAATTCAGCACGATAGACGAAAGTGGTGCTTATAGCGAGGGCCACGTAGAAGTTTTAAGCGAAGATACGCTTGAAGACGAGATCGGCGAGTTTTATGAAACCGATATGGAGGGAGTTCCTCTCAGTTTTGAAGTCCCAGATTTTGGTTTTTTGTTATCTGCTCATATAAAGTTTCAGTATTACTTTTATTTGCCTTAGTATGGAAATACTTTTTATTTTTTAAAATTTAAAATATATTTTCATAATAGGTTTAATAGAATTACAACCAGTTGAAAGTGATGAACTGACGGAAGATGAAAGTACTTTTAATTATGATTATACTCTTCCGTCCTTACACGAGTATTTAAGTGCCAATAATTTGAGTGAAAGGTTTTTTATTACCAATACAATTTCATTTTTAAGTTTTTAGTTCGTGTTGCAATTAAGGAAACTTTTCGTCAGTACAACTAGTTATATGGCTGTTCTATAAAATAATAACTATCCTACGACGTCTTAGCAACAATGTTACATTTCCCACCGGATCAGTCCTAGACATTTTAGTTTTTACTTTTCCTGATGCCGTTTTGATTCCCGGGAAGTTGCTGCCTTTTACTTTAAAACCCGAGTATTTTCATAAAAGGAAGACTTAGCCCGTACTTTATTAAATTTATTATATTTTTAGATTCGCGAAGGAAGTGCTAGAAATGATGAAAATCTGCAGTTATCCACTCGTTGGGTTAATAACAACCTTCTCTTTTTATGTCCACGAGTGCGGTAAGGATTTACTAGGTTGACTTTATACTTGAGCTACTTTATGCGACCAATAGGGACGATCGGCGAGATTAAATCGTACGCAGAACTCTCGGATGGGAGTTTAAATCTATTAGTTGTAAGGAAGCTTATCTTTGATTGTAGCACCGCCTTACACGATTCACCCGTCAGTTGGGGAAGCAGCGCTTTCGACTTGCAGACCAGTCCAATCCGTTTTACAGATTGAAGCTAAAAAGCGTTGTGGTGCTTGCTGTGGGCGAACGACTGAGCTTCACCCGCTCTTCCCATGCTCACGTGTCTTGTTGTAAGCATGCACTCCACCCACGTGCTGAACCACTTGAGTATGTGCGCTCGTGAATAGCAGGAAACGCCTGGCCCTGTTGGCTCCGCTGGTTGGATGAAACCGTTTTGTGTAAGAGGTTTGTTAGTTTGCTTTTCTTTCATAAATATTCACACATGCTCAGCGCTTTTTCTCCCTTAGGCTCGCCGACTTGGCCAGTCAGAGTAGTATGCTGAAGCAGATCGATTTTCCGGAAGAGCCCGCTGCCTTTTCGCTTTGGTTCGCTTCCAACCTCCCTATAAGGTGTGGAGCTGGAGCTTCTGCTGTCATTAAGGAAGTTTATGATGTTTATTAGTAATAGAGTTCTAGCCGATATTCTTGAGACTGATTTCACCGCATATCGACTGCTGAAGGAAATCAACCTACTAAGGTTATATAATTATTGTTATTATTTATATAATATTTTTATTACTTTAGCTCTCCTACAAACTTCCACTGCAAAGGCTGTTTCTCCTACATCGGCAACCAAAAGGACATGTTTAGCATATCCACAGAAGGTGTCATCCAGCTACTCTACACACGTGGACTGTCGGCAAGCATTCTTTTTTAGGGCCGATTCAAGCCTTCCTGAATCCATTTGGCTACGTTTTCGAGGTGCTTTCCTTGAGGCGAATCAATAACTTGAGTTACGGTAGTGCCGCTGCGTGTCAAGCAATTCCTTTAGCTTACCACCCATGAAACCAGGAGAGACGTCCGCGGAGAACTCCTGGTTTCCACGCTATTCATGGGTTCCCTCTTCCTTCTGTTAGCCTTTCCACGTGTTGCAGCTGACTTTTTCCACTCGCTGGTTCGGGCAGACAGTGGCCATATGCTCCATTTGTTACAGGCACATCGGTAAGTTCCTTCTTTATTACGCATGAGCTTGCAAGAGTGCGGTGTTTCTCTTAATCCGTAATACGAAGTGATTGAAAGATCGCCTTTCACTTTTAAAAGGCAACTAACGCTGCTCATTTAGGATGGAAATTTGGGGCGTGCGAATCTGATCTCCATCCGTCCCGCTTTTGGGGCGTTGCTAAGTCGTCTATAGTAATGGCCTCCACGGACTTCATTTCCGAAGGCAGCAACGAAACCAGCAACTAAAGTCTCTGAAGGTTGGCTTCTTTTACTATTTGCTAAAGGAAATCGTCGCAGAAGTTAAAGTCGCCAGTTTAATTGGCTTTTTTTTAAAATGCTTAATTTACCGTAAAAGTAGTCGCAAAGCGCTTCGATTGATTTTAATTGTTAAATCAACTTTAACTAATTATCTGTTGGTTAAGTAACTAATATTGTTGCCGGTCACGAAGACTACTTGGAATTGTAGAGCTTCAGTATTACCAATTTTATGACTAAGCGAAGGTTTAACTAGTTTTGTTACATGCAGCAGAAATCCATAAGGAAAGAAAATTGATTTTTTTTATTAAAAAAAAATAAGTTTCCTCTGGTCTAATTAAAATTCAAAAAAAAACTTGTAGGACTTGTAATAAACAATCTAAATTTAAGTGACAACTAAATATAATTAAACTAATAAAGTTATAATAACAAGAGAAACAAAGCCTCTTCTACAAAAAAAAATAAAATGTTTAAAGAAAATAATTGTGAAATAATTATTTTTAAAAATTAAGAAAAGTTAAAGAAAAAGTCTGGAGTAATATTAACACCATCACTAATTATTGTGTTTTGACTAAAAACGATTCCGTAATGAAATTAGTACAACTTTTTTTCTTTCAAAACTAGAATTCGTTTAAACAATTTTATAATTTGTTTGAACCTATTTTTAGAATAAAATTTGCCAATCAGTATTCATAAATTCCGTGTTCATAATCTTTTATACGTTTATTGAGTTGACCTGTGCACTTTCAACTGAAAAGTTTTATATTTTCCTTCAATATAGTTTTGTTCTCGACCATCAAAATCTCTAAATAGTACCATAAAATTTTTTAATTAAAATACTCGGATTCAAGAAAAATGTAAAGAAGCAAAGGAAAAAATTTATTTAGAGGATATAATCTGAATTATAGCTGCTTAACATCTTTAATTTTCTTAGCAACAGTAATCAAAGTATGCTTGGGAACTTTTTGTGGAGTCGACTTTAAAAAAAATTTGCGTTTTCTTTTATTCTGAGTTCGACACACCGCGTTGATTTCCTATTGAATAAAATTAAAACCAAAACGTTTCAAGAAAAATTAAAAAATTATATATAAAAAATTTCACTCCTGAGAAATTATAAAAACATTGCTTATATAAAGAGATACTTCTTTTTGATTCTCTATAATTTGAAAGTACGACACTGCAATTTCTTTGCACTTCAGCAAAATGGACTCTTCATTTCTACTAATAATCGTTTATTCCAAATAAAAACTCCAGTTATTTAAATTAAGTTGCACTTTGCACTTACATTAAATGACTTCAAAAATGATCAATTAAAAATTTAAAGCAGAAAACAAGCTAATCAAAATTCTTCAAGTTACATAGTAAAGAAAAATACTATGTCACAGGCTTATTAGGAGTCTGGTATTCCCTTTCTTTATACTCTAAACACTTTTCAGAAGAGTCTTTAAAAAGATAAAAGCCTTTGGAAAATGAATAAAAGAGATTTTAACTTAAATCTATTAAGTCAAAAAAAAATTTATTTTAAGTATACAAGACATATCTTTAATAACATAAACTTTCTTGGATAGTTGAATAAAAATAACTTTCAAGAAGTTAAAACAAAACTTTTGATAAGGGCTTCAAGAATTTTATTTAGTGTTAAACATAACTGCGATAGATGGCAACGCGCACAAAAATAAAAGGTATTGGTATTTTCGTTCGAATTAATGAAATAAAAAATTTTAAGTTTTTTATACCTGCTAAATTGTAAATTGTAAAAATTGTATGTTGTTAAAACTATAAAGGACTTTAAAAAAATACAATTCATGAATTAATAAACTCTTTTATCCGCGCCCGATCAGAAATTTTTTTAAAGGTTATATATTTACAACTTAAAATATTATAAGCGTATACAAGTTACAGAAGCTGAGAAGTGTCATTTAACTAAACTTTTTATTGTAAATGATTAAAGCGTTGTGGGAGCTGTTGTATTCAATTATCGCTCTCTGATAAAGTTTTGCTTTTAAAGTGGGCATAGGCTTACTTAAAACAAAAACCAACGTTTTTTAGCTCTCTTAGAAAAAGTTAAGATTTATTGTTCACCAAACTTGAACAAGAATTGTAATTACCAATGAGGCTAATTAAGTTTTATATGATAAAATATTATGCATATTTAAGGTGTCTAATAAAAAAGATTTATTATATTGATATAAAAGAGGTAAGGTGCTAATTATACTTTTCTTAACTACTTTTTACCTCCATTTTCTATGTCTAAAGGCTTCTCCAAAGAATTCCATACGTCATCTTTAAACAAAGCCTAAAGAAAAAACAGTTGAGTAACTGCTTAGTTTTTTATTGGCCTAATATATAGGAACAATCATTTGTAAGTATAAATTATGTTTCATGAGCCTCTTAAGAGTAAACTATGCGGGTAGTGAAAAAAAAACATTAATTTTAAAATAGAAAAAGCTAAAAGAAACGTAAAAGTGATAAGTATGAGATAAAGCCCGCTCAACTAGAGTTTTTTACCGTTGTCATCAATACTCTTTGTATCCATTCAAAGATTACTTTTTCTTTTAAAAAAAAAAGTATAAATGTACTTTTCGGATTTTTAATATATATCCAAATATAAAACTAGGGGGGGCCCGTGGCGCCCTCAACTACCGCATTGTATACTTATGCCGATGGAAAAACAGATGGATTCCAACCAATAACAAATAAGTTGTACATGTCGAACTCGCAGATCTCATAATTACGCAGAGTGACAACTAGTACAAAAAATATATAAACATAATGTTAAGCCGAATTTCACTAAATTTATCTATAAAGCCATCTTTTCGCACTTAAATCTTTTAACTTAAAGTTAGATTAATTTAGCACAGTTATTGAAGTATTGCAAGTATATTTTTAAACGCCGTATATATCTACAGTGGTTGCGCCTTCTCTGTTAAATTGCAGTTTTCAGCCTTTCATGGCTTGATATTCAATATTATTAGCTTTATAGATAATTCCTTTCCGTTTTTTTAGCCTAGCAAACAACAATTATCTAATAGTTATTAATTAGGTTAAAACGTGCCGGGGCGCATTACAAAAAGGTAAAATATTTATCAGTTTATTTTAAATAAGCGATCAAGTATTAAAAGCAGGAAGTGGCCATGAAGGCGTTAGTCTCCGCTCTTTAAGCGCCCTGGGCTGTTTACTTTAACGGGAAAGAATTTAATATTTGCAAAATTATATTAATCCAAATTGCCGTTAAACTTTTTTTAACCCCATTTTATCTTAATGGCTGTCTATCCCTTGAAGTGGTAGGTTGTGTGTTGGTTTAGCAAAGGATCACTTTTGTCTTGGTTAACACTTCGGGTAGCTGAATAAATGCAGAGGCACCCGAAGTGCAAACAGAGAGCTGCGCAACTTGTTAAAAACAAAATTTTTTGGCTGTTTTTTTCTCTTGTAATATCACTTTTTTAAGCACAGAGCGCGACCTCACACAAGTTCATTCCTTTCATGGTGGAGAATTCCGATTTTATACGAGACCACGGAAGTTTAAAAAAGTCACAAAGAGCGGCCTCTCGAAAAACTTAAACCCTTTTAGCATAAGCCCTACTTAATTAGATGTAGCTTTTTGTTCAGCGCTCCAATTTTCTTTTATATTATCTGTGATCGTATATACCAATAAATACGTAAAAACTTATTAATTAATAGGCAACCATAATTTGAAAGCATGGCTTTTAAGTTACTTCCGGTAGTAGATACCAATGAATGGAAAGTAGTTTTTTTTTAAAAAAAAAAATCTAGAGGATACGGGTGCATACAACCTAGACCATTACTCATGGTAGACTAAAGAAATGATTATCTGATGCTAGTATATATGTAAATTCGCACTCCTAGGGTACCGTAGTCCTGAGATTTTTTTCTATTTACTTTTATAAGTCTTCAAAAAATTATGTTTAAGGTCAACGAATTCTAAAACGCCAAATACGACAAAATATGTTTAACCTTTAAATAGATAAAGGAAATGCCAAGTTTAGAAATGAATTAAACACTGCAAACAGTTTTAATAATAAAAAAATCCGCGCCTTGCATAGAATGAACCTTAAAGCTTTTATAATAAGGGTAATATGCAGAAATTTATATTCGCAAACGTCTTCTTCAATAGAAGAAAAAATGAATTTCGTCAAAGTATGTCAAGTTCAAGTTGTCGCTACTTTAAAATTTTAAAAGCTTAAAACATGTTTTAAGTTTGCTCAAATTTGGTGACCACCTCTGCAAGTCTCAATCTCTCATAAAACTGCTACAAAACTTTAAACTTTTCTTGCTTAAACGGACTTAATGATAAACAAAGACATTACGTTAAATGAGGGTGTAACGAAAGGCGAATACTTAGTACTAAGGTTGCCTTCAGCAAAGTTATTATTGAAGCCAGACGTAAGTGTGCTTTTCATAACTTCCATTATAATTCAAAGCCAAGAAGGCAGTCCTTCCCTCTGTTAACTTTGTTAGTAACAAGAGAAGGTCAACTTAAGGCTAAAGCTCTTCAGAGCGCTCAGCCACCTCTAGTTCTGTGCTATTCTGCGAGGGCTTCCTTCTTTAAATAATAAATTTTTCTTTATAAAAGAATCATTTGGAGCTTATGCTAATTTCTATTTTCAGCAATAGTTACCTTTTTAAACTTTTTTTTTCCTATTATATATCAAGTATACTTTGTTGACCATTAATGTAACCTTACAAATACTACCCACCTACCAACAGTTACACGAACGTACGTGACTCACTAATTACTTTTCTGTGGTCTAAAACGCCGAAAGTAATACCAACAACTAATTATCTAGGAACTTTATTTAATACTTCCAAACTATGTAAAAAAAATATGTATCCAAAGTATATTTTTATTATAAGCAACAACTTTCTCTAAGTTTTTATTTCTAGGCAAGTAATACTTGAGCCCTAAATATTTGTAAGTCCAATAAAGCCTGCAAAAAAGTTTTTTAATAGTATTAATCTTTGAAAAGGAATAATGTGAAAGCCAATTTATAAATAAAACAAGATCTTAAACTATTTTGAAAAAAGTTCCTACTTATTGAGAAAAAATATATATTGGGCATATGTTTAAAAAAAAGTTGGTAGAATGAGTTAATTACGCATTTGGCAGGAAAACCTTTAAAAATGTAAAAGAAGAAAAGATCAAAGAACTAAATGTGACGCTTCAAAGGATCTAGTTTTTAGATAATTATATATATTGACATCGAAAGTAAGCTTAACGAAAGTAAGCTTAATGATTATGAAACTAAATTTTTGGCTTGAAATATAAGTTTGTATTGGTCCTGTAATTAATGTAAATTTACAAGAATAAACAAAGTTATTGCTATTATTATGAGTCAAAGTATAAGGCTCTTAGGAATAATATATATTTAATTATAAAAGTGAATTAATTTGCCAAAAAGTATTTTATGCAAGTCGTCTAAAGTCTACAAGAACTCCACTTACTAAAGTTTTGAAATACTAAACTAATGAACTGAGTAGCGCAGTCCTCTTTTGTAGGACAACAAGCGGCCGAGAGCTGCTTGTGCTGTTAAAAATCAGAATTGTCTTCCTCGTGCAAAAGAGGCGTGAGGTCCAAAAGGTGGCGCATGGTGGGCCGGCCTTACTAGATTATACACGTGCCAGAAGTCAATCTTTTTGGAAAGCTAAAATACCGTGCGGGCAATTCCAGGGCTGCTCTATTGAGGCCATGTGCCCGACTATAGTTTCCATTTCCTTCGTGGTGAGAGCCGTGCCAATCTAAGAAGAATGCTAGTCACCGGCAAGCCACAATCAATAGAAGCAAAGCATACCATGACGCTCTGGCGACAAGCCCTGGAGGCCAGCATCTTCCGGACTTTGGACGGCCGGCAAAATGAGCCCTGAAGCAGCGATGAGCGCCGGAAGCAAGCAAAAGCGGCAGTATATAGTCACGTGGGCTTCGGATAACAGGAAGATGAGCTCTTCGACGTCGTCGCTATCAAACCGAGTAGACTTGCTGTAGGGAACACTCGAGAGAGAAATGCTTCTCCCTAAAAAGCACTGCATTTCTTTAAAATATAATAACGAGAGGGAAGCAAGTCACCTGGAGGTTGACTTCTATCAATAACAAAATCGAATCCATTCTTGCGAAAGACCTGAAAAAAAAAGGATCTAAAGAAAAGAGAATAAAAAAAAAGCTCTTTGTACAGGTAAGTTAGCCAAGAGAATGCCTTCCTGGGCAGCAGAAAGTTCAAGCTGTTTGGGGCTAAAGAGAAAGCATTCAGTCGTTTATATAATTTTAAATAATAGAAGAGAACCGCAGTAAGCGCTGGCTCTGAAGTATTATAGTTTTCTGTAGAGTCTCAAAGTTGTACTTTTCATCGCTCGCATGCTGGTCGATCACGAACAGATCCGAATCAAGTATGGCAATAATGAAACCAAGATTGAATTGCCCAAGGACGCGCATCTGCACTTCAGTTACCCACGTGGTCTAGCCGTGCATATAAAAGAGTACTTTCTTAAAGCAGTCTTTAGTGAGAGTCCGGCTGAGCTCACTCTCTGCAAGTTCATTGTGTTCAACGCGGATGCTTGCCTGAAAGGCTCACGTATGGATTGGGAGGCAGTGACTACCCCAGGAGCATACCGAGAACTTTTGGTTCGTCTTTTGGATTCCATGTTCCGCCACGCCCTGCACAGACCGGCGCATCGCCGCGATATCCACCTTAACGGTGCGCTCGATCCCCACAAGACATGGACTGGCGGCCGTTTGAAGAGAAAGAGCCCCGAGATCAGTGCTGTCACTTCCCTCCTCGAACGGGGTCTTCAAAAGTGTGCGCGTAACGGAGTATATAAAAGAGCAAAAAGCCTACAACGTGGTTTTCATTGGGAAGGGTTTTACTTAGAAAAGAGGAAACCACTCGCTTTTCTCGGGAGACGGCTCTAAAGCACTTAATAAAAAGAGAGAAGCCTCACCAAACTTATAAGAGCAACCTTGCGCCACGAAAAAGTCTTCTGCCTCTGCAGCGGCTGCTCTTCTGACTGCTGATTATTAAAGATTTCTTCCTTTCGCAGTCGCCAGCAAGAGTAGGGGGATCCTCGAGGTCATCAATCGTTCTGCACGAAATCGGCTTTGGCAAAGATCAAAAGTTGTTATAGGCTCGAGTTCTATATACATACTTTTCCTACAAACTCTGAAAGTGGGGGGCCTCCAGAAGAAACCTGAAACTTTCCATGACTGGACTGGTATAGGTCGTAAAGTGCGTTCTTTTACGAATATATTGTAATCAAAATTGTTATGATAAACAGATGACCGAAGGAAGTAACTTTAACGGAGTCTATCAAAGCGGTTTCTGAGTGGAGTAAAATAACACGTTTGTCAGGAGTAACGTTGACGTCACATAAATCTGTTGTAAACAAAAGCAAACTTTTCTTTTCTTGAAACAGTGTAAAAAAAGGCAAAAACACCTCTTCTGAGATTAATGTGAAGAACAAAGACGGGATAAGCAGACCCCGAGAATTGGCGGAACACTTCATTGATCGCTTTACTGACCTTGGCACAAATATAACTGTAACAAAAACTCCTTGAAAATATGAGTCATTACTTTATCAAAAAACAATTACTAGGTGAATCGACTTAAAATAAACAAAACCTTTGGCAATTCGCAGGGGCGGTTGTTAATAAAAAGAAATTGTCTATCTGGGCTGGCCCGACCACTGTTGTCGGGAAATACTTTCGAAACATAGCCGTCGAGCCTACGCATATAATGGAGGCGTTAAGCCACTATATAAATTGCTTTACAACGAAGAGTTGAAAGAAAATAGCAAGCCCTAGGCAAGAAAAGAGAATAAGAAAACTTAATAATACACAAATTGCAGTTTTTCTGAGACAAAGTTAAAAGGCTCGATAAGCTGGGCAAACTTGGCACCAAAAATGTTTATAATATTCTCCTTTAAGCTCCCTGTGGCCAACTTAGAAACCACAACACTAGGCAAGCTGGTAAGAAAGAAGGGGTTCAGGCCTTCTAATTCGCAAAACGAAAAGGTCGATGGCAACCCTTTACTCGAAAAACTTTTGCAGGAAATTCTGGCTTTTAAAGGGATTAAACAATAAGACTGCAGGACAGTAAGCAGATGGGCAAACTAGAAGGCAAAATCTCTAGAAAAAAGGAAGCGAAATATTATAAGAAATCAAAGCAACCTCCTTTTTAATGTTATTTTGAAGATTCTTTAATCGCACAGGATAAGATGTAAAGAGATTGACCACGATAACTGTAGTGCCCCTCTTAAGTCAAAAAGGGTGTTTGATTTCTACTGATGAGCCACGAAACAGTAAAGAAAGTACTTCTCTAGGCGTCGGGGTAATACTTGCAATGTGGCCCTCGTGATCATACTCAATCTTATTTCCGAAAACTTGGTCGGCCGTTTTGGTGATAACCGTAAACTTAAGAGACTGACTCAATGCAAACCATTTAGGCTACTACAGAACTCACAAGCCCACCTGGCTTAAAGAACACAGGGAGTTCAGTGCCTCTCCTCTAAATCCAAAAGTTTCTACGCGGTTAAGATCCGAAAAGTCGGTAATCTTCGAAGTGGCGTGCTTGGCAGTAAGCCCACTATAGTCGCATTCGCGCACACCGTAACCTGGGAGGAGATAACTGTGACCGCTTTCGAAAGAAAAAATTACACATAAACCGTCATCTCTAACTTCGATTAAGTCAAGGCCTTTATTTTTAAGTATTATTTCAATGTTCTGGGCGCCTGCATCGAGAGAGTTCTCGAGAAGTTCCTTAACAACTGAGGCAAGCGTGACTATGACTTGCCCGCTGCAAATTCTACAAGTTTAAATAGACAATTACTAAAATTAACTAGTTGAGAGCTACTTTCAGTTAATGCAACAAAAAGAAATTTTTTCAAGGGAAACAGTTTTAATAAAAATAAGCGCAGCACTTTTGCTGTATAAATTATAAACTAAACTTCAATAAGCTTTAAAGGCATTTTTCACCGCCGCTATGGACTAGGATAAACTAAAGCTTTACTGTTTAAAACTAAGTTTGGATGGGGCTTGTATAAGAAAATTTATAATAATTTAAAATTTTACGAAGTACTTAGGGCCCACAACCCTGCAAAGTAGTATATGATTACGAGGTACTTTAAATATATAAAATATTCGCAGTTGAGAATTTAAAAAATACAAAACCATTGGTTTTAACCTAACTTAATCGCATAACAAAAAAAAATTAAAAACTAAATATGAGTATATAGTTACAGCTGTTTTCTGTATTATTTGAACTTAGTGCTTCATTTCTTATATCTATGCGAATAATGTTTTTTACGAATAAAGAGTTTTTAATTAACCTAAATTAATTTTTATGCACTCAAAAATATTATAAAAGTAAAAATTTTTAACTAAAAGAAATAAAATAAGTTAAAAATGAGTTATTTGAATACTAAAAAAAAGCTCTTTTTCTAAATACTAAGTAACAAGTGGTTACTTATAAAATAATGAGGAAGTGTTAAAAATGTTTACTAAAATTTAGAATAAAATTATAATAAGTATTCCGCAACCTGTGCACGTCTGACTGACGGATTCTCAATATTCTGCGACTCATCGCTAGTGACCATTAACTAAGAAAGTACTTCGACGGACTACTACTAATTCTAATAGTACACAAAAACCCAGCGCACATCCCGCATGCGCAATAAACGCTTTAACTTAAAAACTAAAAAAGCACCGAGGCAGCCCAAGCCGCAATAGTAGGCTATGCATTCTCATCCAGGATCACTACCGCCCGCACCCCCTCCTGTCACCCACCGGCAGAGAAGACTTAAATAGAGGCAAACAGAAGGCTATATAGGTGTTATGGTTTTTCTCAATTTGCAATGACTGCAGCCAGTACTCGCAACAAAGACATGAAATATAACACCACCTAAAGTTGCTCTGCGAGTTGGAGGCTTCAGCCCATACACCGTTTAAGAAACCAACAAGAGTAGGTCTAGCAGTGCGCTGAAGCCACCTTTCCGCGGGCAGCCACCACTGGACAAATTAAATGTTTTATACTTTTTTTTATTACCTCTCAATAGTCGGGATATTACGGGAAAAAAAAAATTGGTTTTTCACGTGGTAATAATAACCACATTGCAGGTCTTCGTGCACATAATCTAGACGTGGTATTTAGTGCTGTAGGGGGTCGCTACCCACTCACTTCCGTGGAACAATAAAGAGGCATAGAAACGTATAGCTGTATAATTACACTTAAATTTATCATGATACCTATATTAAAACCAATATTTAATTATGCATAAATATAAATGGAAAACATCGCAAGGACTAAGTATTTTTTTTTAAAAAAAATTACTATGCAATAACTGTTCTCTCTTAATTTCCCTTGGTATGGCCAACGTCCATATTTGGACTCATAACCGAATACGTACCTGAGACTTAACAAATGATCAAGAGTTGTCGCGTTGACGATCATTTCAAAGCAGTGGGTTCGAGTAGTTCCAAAGCAGCTAAGGAGCGGTTGTTGGGTGCTGGGGAGGAAGGAAGCTAGAGCGAGAGGTATGTATATAAAAAGTATTGAGAAAAAATTGGTTAAAATGAAAACTGAAACCTAATAAATATTAGAAAAAAACCTAAAAATTAAGGGGTTAAAATCTATTTAAGTTAAGATATATAGCTACTGTAAGTTGTGAAGAAGATAAATGTTCACTGGTCCAGATTTTAAAAGTTTTTATAAACAGAAATGGCTAGCTTGTAATAATACCTTAACATCAAACTAAATTGGAAGAATTAATGAAGAAACAAGTTAGATATACGACCGATAACTTTTGTTACCAAGAATGAGTGAAAAATTAACTAATCTAGAAGACATTTGTTATAGTAGTATTACCCGCTGATTATGATTTTTGCAAGATGTTAGTCCTCTAAGGGGCAGTAGTAACAGTATGTGTAAAATAGCACAAGTATTTTTCGTTAAAAAAATCAACTGAAACTATTGTAAGCAAGTTTGCTCTCTTCTCTCCACTACAAACGACAGCGAGCATTACTACACAAGTAAAAAAATTTTTACACTGTCAAAGTTGGGTTGTCTAAGAAAAATTTTAGGTAATTAGCTAAATCTTTTAGATTTTTGTCGCTTCAAAAAGTGGGTGCTCCCTATGGAAGGAAATATACAGTTTTAAAGTATGGCAGTGCGATAAATTCCGTGTAACAATACATATATGGCAGAAGGCGCACTTACATTTTAGATTGCAAAGCGTTATTAGCGAGTCATTGTAAAAATGAGCGAGCGACTTGCAGAAAAGTTTACAATACTCAATTCTCATGGGCTTTTAGTTTTGGGGAGGGTGCAAAACATGAAAATGGTTCTAATATTATTTTAACTCTTTACACTTAGATGATAATTTAACTAAGTTATAGGTTTGTACTACCCACGGCAAACGCCCGAATTTTTTAAATGACAAAAAGTGTAAAGACACACTGTCTTTACTTCAAAAAAAGCAAACTTTAAAAACCGAGACTGTTTTAAAGATGGATTGGATCCGAGATAATCACTTAGAAATAAGTAATACCTTAAACTATTGGTATTATCTTTCAAATGTCGTTTACGACTTTAAAATTAGAACCTTTGAGGTAATCTTTACTTATACAAAACTAATGTGGTTCTATAGATTTCCTATTTACTACCGAGCTTATATAACAAATAGGTATTAAAGAGCATCGACAAAAAATTACAGAGAGTTTCTTTAATATTCCACTTTGATCTTTTTGTTAACTACTTAAATTTGTTATGCACTTTTGTGTCCGTCATTCTTCTCTACTTTCGGATAGAAGAGCGCAAAGCAATTGTGTTTTTATATGCCGCTGCTCAACTTTATTCTAAGAAGAGAGGTGCTTGCTTTAATTACAAGTTACTGACTTATTTTTCTAATTCTGTTTATTATCAGAGGTGGACCAGAAATTTTCGGTGCTCTCACGTTTCCTTAGTGATTTTGAAAATCCCCTGCTAGGCTTAATAACACTATTGAAACCTTTTTCTTCTAAAATTACAAGCATGATTTCCTCGTTATCGCCAATTTATAGCCAGTTAAATTTAGATTCGAAGTCTCTTAGAAGCTCTTGCAAATATTCTCTCATAGCTAGCGGTACTTCAGTCAACTGTATACTATATTATTATTATTGCAGTTTGACGAAGTACTAACCTTTAAATTTATATTTTTGTTGGATGATAGAAGTTTTATTAAGATTAGCTTAATAGCTTTACAGGTTATTTTGAACTCTAACATACAATTTTACAAAACGAAAGTTTTAAAATTTCATTTAAAGAGCTAACGTCTGCTATATTAGAAAACTTAGGAGAAATTCACCAAATATTTGATAATTTTATTAAACTTTCAAATTATAATTATTAAACGAGCGTATATAAGCGAACGTCTTATATGAGATTGTGAAACGTTCTGGTTGTATACAGATATGTCTTTGCCGGATGCGTGGCTGGCCATGCGCTACGTGACTTACTCGCTGTGCGAACTGCAGCGTTGGATCTGCTTGGCACTCCTTTGCTGTCCCAAAGCCCTCGCAACTGAAAATTCACCAGCATTACTTCTTCTAAAGTCGGTTTTAAAAGACACGTGTAGGGCAACGTCTGAGATTTGGAAAGCACTTACTATTAGTATTATTACTTGCAGGGGTTGTACAGTTGTGTCCCAACGAAGTTCTATACATCCATGGGGAGTTTGAAAACGCAGCCAAGCTTTCCAAAGAAAAGGAGTTGCACAAAATAGTCGAGGAGCAAGCCGCCGCTCTCCCTGCTCAAGGTTTATTGAGTACAGTTTGGCAGGAGCGTTTCCTCATTGTCGTCATGCTAAAACGGACAGCTGTTTCCTTTCACTATCAAAGGCGTGTTTGTGTGGGTCATTATCTACAGCAGACTATTAATATTATTAACGACCAACCAGGTAACTTATGTGAAATTCTTTTTAAATTTTAAGGAATGCTATTTATCTTTGACCCTGTTTAGGGATACTCGGGCCCAAACTTCCAACTATCCTCCTCACTTTATCTCTAGCTAAGAATGAGATTTTTTGGTTGAGCATGGCTTACCTCTAGTTTGTTTTCCCCTCGCATTAACCCCATTTACCAATGTAAAAAGGTTTCTAATTCACATGAAAAGACCTTTAAAGAATATGAGGTATAAGGAAGGTGATTGGACGGACCCTCTATTCGCATCTTTTCTTTTTTTTACTGAAAAGTTGATTGGAATGCTTGTGGAACACGAGATGATAGTTAGAAGGTCTTAATACCTTTCGCACCTTTCAGACATGGAGCATAGTTTCCTAAAAAACCTTTTTAGATATTATCTTGAATTTCTCATTAATTTTGATGGACCGAAGTTAACGTCTCTTGTTGAAAAGTTTGGAAATATTTCTTCAGTGGAGTTGAGGCTGCTTAACGCCTTTTGCCGGCGCTTGTCCCAGTTAAGTGATTGCGGCCCCACTAAACAACTGGGCTATGAAGGTTGGCAGTTGGACCACTTACGATTTCAGGGACTACCAATAACTTTCTTTTGTTATATAATAAGTCTAACTGAACCAATCAGGTCCTTTTGGCGGAATCCTCTTGCCCAACCGAAATTGTTGAAGATAAAGAACTACTAAAGGCACTGAGCACGAGCACCTTCCACTTTAGCCTCGTTGACGAGTTTCACCACTCCCTCAACCAAACCACCAACCTCAAAGAGCTCTTTAATTATCGAGTGTTTCTGTGTAAGGCAAAGCTCCCGCCGTTCCCCTTGTATCCTCCGGCACCGGCCTTATGCGTCCCTCTTTAGGGTCCATGTTTAAAAGCGCGTTGGCGACAGTGCAAGGATATGAAGCTGCTGCCTTTCTCACTGTGATCCCTCAGTTCCCTTCCTACGAATACGAAGTAGGTTTTTTACTATTATTATGGAAAATGTATTGTACTATGGACAATATTAAGAGCAAAAGTCAAAAAGCGGTCGGCCTAACATCCCAAAACATATTTTCTCTTCACTTAAACAAGTATATCCGCCGCTGGATTAAGTGCTTCCGAGCCTACTTCACATTAATTCTTGAGCTTGAGCACCAGGTAGTATATTTCTCTAAAAGCTGCAATTGTTTCGTGTGGCGATACACTCCACTACAAAACAAGCTAGCTCACAGTGGATTAAGTTTTTCAAAGAAACAAGCGTTTATTGGGCCTACTACTCCTGGTGGCTTGCCCATCTGGCCAGAAGTGACGCCACTTGACCCCTATATGATGGCCACGGGCAGCAACTTGGATTTTAGTCGAGAGTATCTTTACTACGTGGGAAAGAGTTTACTTTGTTAGTAGGCCCGTGGATCTAGGATTCGCACTCTGGACGAGGTCATCAGGCGAATGCTCTGGGCTCTCACATACTATCCTTTTATTCAAGTTTTTGACAAGCGTTTCTCGATGGTAGAATGCTTCTCAAAGGAGCTCTCATGTTTCGTTTGCGATTTAATAGGTGCTTTTAGTAATTAGCTCGGCAATATTGATCATTATAGCGCATAACAAAGGCCGGCTTGACGAATTTAATAAAAGCCACATGACGATTAAAAGACCCTCTCAACTTTTGAAGGAGGTGACCATCCTCTTTGATCTTCTTCTGTCTCTCCGCCCTTTTGGTGATAGTGGCAATTACTATACTTGGCATTCCACATAATAACTTAATATTATTAAATAGCACTGTTGGGCTGCTCTGATCTTGTCCACGGGTTAGTGCCCGCACTTACTGATCCCAAGGAGAAACCGGCAAGCTTACTGGTCGCTCACTATTCTTTTTGGTTTATTCTAATTTCTATTGTAGACTCTGTGGTTTAGCTCACTTATATCGTTAACATTAGGTATTTAGCTTTTATAGACAAAAAACTGAGCCCTGGCGCCGCCGTGGTCCCTTTTTCCCTAGGGCAAGTCTTTAGTGCCGGAGCTTCTCAGTCGGAACAATACTTTAACTTAAATGGTAAACACCTTGCCCGCTGTCTGTAAGAAACGACATCCATTTTATAGTATAGCCGCCACACGAGCTTAATAATATTATAGTATTTTATTTTGTAATATGTAAGCTTTAAATTCCTCTCGGTTTCTTTTTAAGTTTTTATTGGTACTAGAAATTATTGCACTCTGTCATCTTATTGGATATGCCGGGATTAATTACGTGAAAATTCAAATTTCTAAGCAAATGCTGCAGTGTTTTGAATTAATAAAACACTTCATAGAGTAATATTTTCTCTGCTGTTCATGAAGCCCTTATTCTACAGATACCACTATTTTACTGACTTTAATATAAAGTTCACAGAGAACTTTGGTAACCATTTCCGAGAAAACCATCTACAAAGAATCCTTTAACGTAACCGAGCACTTAAAGAAAATTAAGGTGAATGCATTTCTTGTTAAGTTAATAAGTACGACAATGCCTTGTTCAAGGATATCGAGGAGGTTTTACAGAAAACGATGCAAGTAGGGCTCCTTATAAACTTCGAGGGTCTACTAAATAAAGCTCTGCAACTTGTGAATTTATATATAATACTTTTACTTTTCCAAGTAAGGCTTTGATTCAGGTTTCTCTGGAAACGGGCTTTATAGTTACTCCGCTGGCGACAGGGAAAAAGCCCACTGAAGCATCTTGCTTTCTCGTTCGTTACTTTAGAATAAACGTATACTTTTAGAAAACTTAACTTTCTCTTTGCCATGAAGGAAAAAGAACTACAGAGCAGTGGCTGTATCTATTTTTTCCTCTTCTCTAAGCGGTGCTTCACACTTTTTAATTCCTAGACTCAAGCTTAGGTCACGCGCTCTGGAAGGAGATGAGTTTCATGTACGCGCTAGTGATCCCGTGGGCGTACTACAATGCAGAAATACACTGCTCTTCGCTGGAAGGCAGAGCTACTCCGTATAGTTTGCTGCCTCGCTTCTAACACCCTTACTAGAGCACGTGAATAAAGCGCACTTGATGGCCTCCGCTGTCAATCTCCTGCTTACGACTTTGTATGGGCAGCACAGTGAAGATGGCGACTGCTGGACTAAAGACAGTTCAATAAGTTCTGCGGTGCCCCAAAGAAGAGCCCAACTCCACTTTCTTGAGGTGTGTGTGGGAGTACTTTTTCGCCTGCGAGGTTCCATCGACTTCAAACACAGCGACGAAAGGGAAAAAAAGGTCTTAGTTCTTCGTTAATCCGTTTAATATTCTTTAACTCTATTAAAGTTTAAGAATCTCGCAGGGGCGTCAATATTTATAGAAAAATTCTCAGCTGATGTCTGCGGGTTGGGTTCCTCGGTGCTAGAGAAGGTTTTTCCACGCACAATGATCTGCAACGCCTACTCCCACTTGCGCAGTTTTTATAAAAAGTTTCTTTATTTATATGGATAACCGTTTGCTTTTCTAAAGGATAATATTTTTTTTCTGTAGAAAAAAAGGTGAACAGTAAAGTGTAGCATCTTTTGTCTAGACTACATACACTACAGCTATAATAAAGTTTTAAGGTTTAGTTACTTTTATATAATTTAAACTTACTTTTGCTTTTCTCTGCTGCCATCTCTTTCTTAAGGCGCCACTGATGCGGTGAATTAATTTTTGAGGCGCAATCTTATGCAAATTAGCCATAAGTCCATAGTGTCTTTTACTAAAACTCTAATTGTTTAAACCACAAAAAATTTGTTCTCACAGTCTACGATAAACTTTTCTCTAAGTGACCCACCCAATTCTACTCTATATTGCGCTTAATATAATAACGTGGTAGTCGCAAAGTAAATATTTCATTTAAGCTTCTTGCGGGTTTAAACTTATTATTTGAAACTATGAAACCTTTTAAGATGAAGGGATCCTTTCTCTTCAACATTAAAATTAAAGTATTATGAAGAGTATATAAATATTTGAAGAGATCAGTGAAGCAAGTTTTTTATACTTTTATAGATAGCGATCTTTCTAGGAATGTTGGACACCGGTATCCAGATGGATGCGTGGCGACTGTACTGAACTTACAAGAGCAACACTTATAATAACGGTAAACAAGAAAAAAAAGGCGCATAAAAAGCCCATAATTAATCCGTTTTCTGAATTAAAAAAATTATTGAACACCAGCTGCTCATCGTCTTGCAAAGATCTCTAAGTACAAGATGGTATTACTAACTTACTATTAAGGAGAAACTTTTCGAGTAGTTAATATCTTAGCCACAGGATTTATTTCTTAATAAGATTATAATGAACTTTTTTTTAAATAGTTATAAGCTAACATTGCAAAGATTTTCGTAAGCTTTTTCTTAAATAAAGAAAAAAAAAAATTAACCTTAAATAGTTGTGCGCAAGGTTGAAAAGTTCCAACCTCCGGAGTTGAAAACAAATGTTTTATTTTCACTAAACCGAGTGAGGCATCTTTATAAAATAAAATGAACAAAGTGAACATTTTGTAAAAAGAAAAAATTGGTATATAATACGGTCTTAAACAAGAACTTAATAAAAAGTACTTAATCAACAAACTCTAGGATAAAGGTTAAAAAGTTTAAAAAAGATTAAAAAGTTAAAAAAAACTTAGATAATCTTTTTTTCTTAACCAGATTTATATAAAGAAAAAGTAGATGGATATTAAGTGTACTTTTCAGGGGCTGAAAGTTTAAGTAAGTGGGTTGGAACCTTTAAATTATTGAAAAGAATTATTATCAATTAAAGGTAATAACTAGTAACTTCCTTCTACACTAAATAATGGAAAATATAGCCGTACATATAGCAGACACCTCAAGTACGGCGCTGTATAAGCTAAATTATTAGCTGGGCAAGACTGCATTCTACAACGGAGGAGCCGGAGTCGTTGACGTAGAAGAACCTTTTTAAGGGCTTATCAGTAGGTCCACATTTTTCACTTTTAGTATAGTAAGCGGTACGACTATTATCCGCTACTCTGCCTTAAATTGATTTTATAAAAGTAGAGCTCCAAGCTTAAATTTTAGGTGTTCTAAGAGTTTGGTTTTCTATTTACAGAAAAGGTACCGTAAGATCCCCCTTCTTATTTGTAGATAACTCCCGGCTATGATATATGACAGAAGTCTATATAATATATATATAACCCTTATTGATTTTTTATATAAGCTTTTTAAAAACAACGCCTTTAACTCAAGTTTAATGAGCTTCTTATTAACAAAATGAAGCCTTAAAAAAAGGAACATGGAAGTTATTAAAATAAAAGAGAATGTTATAGGGCAAAAGACTTTTGTTGTACAGCTGTAGATATTAGATAAATTTTGAAAACCAGTGAATTAGACTAAGGTCTCATCTCTGCTCTAAACTATTAAAAAAACCTAGCTCACTGACTTTAAACACACTTGGTAAAAACTCAAAAATCGCCAGTTTCTCAGGATGTTGGAAAAGAAAATTTTCCTCGGCTATATAAAGAAACTACACCCACCAGTTTACCCGCAAACCAAAAATTTTTTGTAATAATAAACGAGTAACAAATAATTTTCTAACTATTTAAAATTGAAAAGACACCTAAGAGTTAGTTGCTAGTATAAAAATACTTTTCGAAAGAGTTGAAGAAGTTCGCAGCAAAGCAAAGTTTCTGGGCTAAGAGAGCAATATCAACTACACATACTCTTTACGCCAACAAATTAATATGACTTTGTAAAACCTATTTGTGTTCAACTGAGATCAGACTTGAGATGAATTTTTAAAATATATTTTAAATTACCCTTTTCAATTGTGCGTAGGCTTGGACCAAGTTATTTCAATTAGAATCTCATCTCGTATCTTTTAGCCGTACTGATAAAAAGTTGTGGGGTTAAAGCTATTAACTTTTGAGGGTACTAAACTTTTTAAGATCAGCAAAAGTACTTAACTACTATTTTCCAAATCTTAAAGATAAGGAATTTTTATATATTATGTACAAACTAACAAGAACAGAATCACAAACAAAAAATAAGACAAGAATTGCTTAAATAAGACTGACAAGAATAGCAAAATTGACCAGAGTTATCTCCAACTCTCAAAGCATAGTTTCTACAGGTTAAACTGTAGCGCCCTCAACGTGAGAGACGGAAAAAAGAAGAACGACGTCTACTGAACCAGCCTGCGTACTATATACGCCTCCTAACCTAGTAATCTATGAGTTTGTACGCACAAGTATTCCACCGAAGCCTTCCTTTTCTGGCTATTATCGCCCTTTCAAATAATCTCTTATCACCCGCATAACCGTTTCAAGCTCCTTTCATAGATAGTCTTGAGTGTGAAGATTACTCCTGCACACTAGAAAAAATAAAAAGATAAAAATGTGCTTCTTGAAAAAGTCCTTTGATGGAGTAGCATGAAAATAGTTAGTAATCTAAATAAATAGAGAAAGGATAACATTTTCCGTTTTAGTTGACAATATATAACCGCTTACGGAAATTGATGCTGGCAAAGCAACACTTTTTTGCTGATCACCTCGCTAAAGTGTGCGTCACCTGCTTTTTAAGTTGCTTACGAAGTATTTTGTAAATCGAACTTCCTTGCTATGCCGAGGAACAGCTTGAGCCAATCACCGTAGATAAATCGTAGAGGTTAACTCTTTACCGAGCCGAAAGACACCTGACCCCGACGGTACCACCAACGATGTCAAGTAATTACCACTGGTGTCTGTAGAACGCCTATGCCGCTCATCAACTCCACGATGGCTCTCGACTTCTTCCCATTGCGTTGGAAGACGGCAACTGTTGTATTGCTCTAGAAGCTACCAAGACTACATCTACGCCAAGCTAGTACAGGCCTATCAGTCGTTTGCAAAATAGTTGAGGCGGCCTACTGCGCCGTTTGAAAGTATTTGTCATCGCAAGCCATGCCCTGCCAGAGTTCCAATTTGGATTTCGACAAGGGCACCTCACTACTCAACAGCACCCCCTCTTGACAGAGTGGACGACCAGTGCCTTCAGTTTAAAGAAGTCCACAGATGCAGTCTTTCTTGATGTTGAAAAAGAGTTTTATCGAGTTTGGCACAAGTTTAGCTCCACACAATGCCCGCCGTAACCCTTCCTACTACTCTTTTACCGTAAACCAATCTTACCTCAAGGACGGCGTCTTGGATATACGTGTGAGCGTTGCGCGCTCACGCTTAAGACCACCAACAACCAGAGCCCCTTAAGGATCTCTTTTATCAATCACTCTTCGCGCTTTATCTATGCGAAGTGCCACAGCCTGACGACCCCCACACGCGGATTGCCTTATATGCGGGGGAGGTCAAAGCCCTTTTTACCACAATGAAGCGCACTACACCACTACCTTCGCTGACTTTTGAAAATAGGGTCATTCCTTGGTCCCCTCAGGCGAAATACCTGGCTATCATTATTGACAATAAGCTCTCGTGGCGACCGCACGTAAACTATATCGCGGCGAAGGTTAAGGCGTCGGTTTAAACTCTATACCTTTACTTTGTGATGGAAGCAAACTTTCGCTACACAACAAACGACGCTTGTATTTGTTGTACAACCGACAGAACATAACATAGACGTCTACCGCCTGGGCCTACGACCCATCGTCAATAGTCTCTTCGCTTCAAATGAGACAAAACCAGCTGCTACGCCTTATTAAAGGCACACAGTGGTTTGTTCGCAACAATGCCTTATATCATGATTCCAGATAGCGCCACCTACGATAATTGGTTCAATCCCACTCCAATTAATTACAGAAGGATGAGGTGAACTATGAAAGCTGTGGGCCGGCTCACGCTATCGCGGAACGCGCAATGGGCTCTAATATGAGTTAGGGGTGGGATTATTTATAAGATTTATATATACATGAGATTGCTTTACCACAAGCTTAAAGCTAATGTGTAATCTATCATCCTGGTGAGAGCTCGTAAATTCGGTTATTTATTTTATGGGGTAAAAGAAATATCGTTAATAAAAAAAAAAGTATTACTGCTGATGACCATAAAAAAAAATAAAGCTTTTTTTTTTGGTTGTGCTCAAAGTAGATTAGTTGTTACCCTCTAGTTATTGTTATCTCTGTTTTTCTATCCATTACATTTATTAATTGCAACGACCAAAATTGTTAGGAGCTATTATAATTAATTAGAAGATTCTTTAAATGAGAATTAAAGAAATCGATTTATAAACTGCAGCACACCTACCACTTTAACATGGTTTTTTATTTTGAGAAGCTATTATGAAAAAATTTCATATTTACCCCTTATTTTTTTGTTATTCCCTAACCAAAAAGGTATTTATTTAAAGTAGTGGCTCGTTACAACATAAAATTTTTCTTAATTGTTAGTAACGGTACACCACAAACCCTTCAATAAATAATTTTTCTGTTAAATCCTATTTGTAAAAATTTTAATTTGTTCTGTACTCAAATGCATTTGAACGTTATTATTCAATATCAGTAAGCAGTTTAACCTGTGTTTGCAGATATGTTGGTGGCTTTTGCAGGTGCTTGCTACCGCGAGCTTAAACTGTTTAATCTATATTGTTGCATTTATATAGAGTTTAATTTTCCTAGCGTGCTGCGTTGCTTTATACTGTGCGTGTAAAGGATGTTAAGAATCCTTGTTGGATTTTTAGTAGAGTGGTACGCAATTATCTTTTAAAACAGACTGAAGAGAAACTATGCAACAGAAGCCGTTAAAATAGATAAATATTTGGTCAGTTATTAATTAAGGTATGTAATACAGGCCTATGAAGCATTTATAAGACAGCTCATATTATTCACGGGATGTGCGCCCTAACATATTACAAAGTGGTTGAAATGTAAAATTAATGATTAATTGTCATACTGCGTGGGAATACATTAATTGCAAAAAATTAACAAAACCTTCAACAATTTAACTCGTTACAAAGTCAATTACCTAAAATACTTTACCTTAGAAAAGGCTATATATTAAGTTATTTACATTATTAGGTTTATAAAGCAGTCGACTTAAAATTATGCCGATGTCAATCCTAAAATGAATTTTTATTACTAAAATAATGAGAGAACTGAAGTTAAACATAGAATATCTGGAAGGGTTTTTTATTTTTGTATAACTTCATACCACCACACTGCTGTAAAGTGTATCATATATACTGCAAACGTAGCAAAAGTTTGCCAACAGCCAAAAATACTAAATAGTAAAATGTATTTACACTAAGTAACCGAATAGATTTAGCTACTATCAAAAGTTTTACGTTGTTTTTGTTTATTAGCCCATTTTTATTTCACAGTTAATCAAGTCATGTATTGCCCTTCTTAGACAAATGTACTTTAGAAGCATGCCTTAGATATAAATTGTAGCAATGATAAATCTTTTTTTTAATTAAATGGCTTAAGAATGCACTTATTCGTTAAGTATACTATATCCCCCTTTTGATATGATTAGTGAAATTTAGATTGAATAGCAGTAGGCTAAAGTGATTAAAAAAAAGGTCAAAGTTCAAAAGCATACATTATTTGGTAAAGGCAAATTCAGCGGGTATAACCGTCAAAGACTGCCATAAACATATCCTACAATTTAAGCAGCCGCAACCATCATATGATTGCTGCTAAATTAGCTTGTGAATAAGGCGAGCGGCCACCAATCCTCCGTTGGTTACCTTGCAATAACGTATGAAGCAGGAAACTGCTCAAAAGATTTACTGAGCGTAATTCTTAGAAAAAAAAAAAGTTGTCTCAGCGTTCGCTAACTATAATGACGTAAATTTTAACTTTAAAGTGTGCAAGCAATTGTAGCTTTTTATTAAATATTATATACAAGATAGTAAACCTTTACTAAGTGTAGTTTACAAAATATGTTTCATTTTTAGTCCGAAAGAAAGCTTGCTTCGTGCTTTTCCTATGTTTAAAATTTCGGCTTGTTGTGCTTTAAACTCCTCAATCTTTCTTCGTTCCTCCTCTATTATCTTCTTTCGTTCTTCTTGCTTCTTCTGAATAATTAAAAGTTGTTCCTCATCCTGCAAGCCAAAAGTCAAAAAATATATAAAGACCACTATTTAGATAGTGAGACAACGCAAAGTAGCCTTAATATATTTAACAAAGGTAGTAAGGTACAATAACCCGTTCCGAGTAAGTTAACAGCCTTCTGAGTCCGGATTATAAAGGAAAATTAGCTCAAAAGTAGACAATACAATTTGGAGTTTAGATAAGGCAATAAGTCAAGTATACGTAGTTATTTAATAATTGTGTGCGTAAAAAAGGAGAAGTACTAGGCGCCTTAAAGTTCCGTAAAAAAAAATAGTTGTTTAAGGCAAATAGTCTATAAAAGAAACTAAGTTCTCGCACAATTTCAAGTTCACACACGGGTGGAAAACTGACAAGAAGGCTTAAGCCCAGTCAAGTACACTAACCAGGAGGTCCGGCAACTGGAAATGTCTCCTAGTTTGTATAATTATCCTTCTACCTCTCAGATTACCGGTAAAACAGGTTAAATTGATTAAAAAAGCTTTTCGCTTAATACGTCAACTTATTACTGTTTACAAAAATAAACGACAAGTAGATAATTTTTTTAACTTTTATGGGCGCATTTATGACCCTGTCTTAATTTACTCGTAAAGAGAACGTTCATAAATGGTAGTGGTGTATATAAACCAAATTATCCTCGAAAATTATGTGTAAATTAACTCCTTTCCTCAAGCAACGATAATATATATCATATTGTGCTGTGTCGAAAATAGTTATAGAGAAGTGTTGACCAACATTTTCTATAACTTCACAAGTAAAAAGTAGAGAAATGATCAAAAAACTGAGCGACTGTGAATAAAATATAACATCGAGGCTGTTTGCACCCCATAAGTATGTAGGTCTAGTGGAAAGTCAAGTCATTAGTATGATTCAAAGTGTTTCTTCTAGAAATAAAAAACGTAATAAAGCCAAATAAAGTGTGGGCAGGCGAACGAGGTCTCCAAACCTTCTTCCTTTGTTCTTCAAGAAGCTTACGATTATTTTCTTCAATTATCTCTTCAACGCTTTTCTGCTCTGCTTGGAGCTTGTAAAAAAAAGTTAGATGTTCAAGCGTTAAACAAACCCGCTCAGTAGCTTAAACAATATAAAATTACCCTTTTCTGTTCTACTTCTACGCGTCTTTTTACTTCTGCTTCAAGTTTAGATTCTAGCTCTAACTTGAGCTTTACTCTTTCTTCTTCAAGCTTTTCTTTATACCATTCCTCGATCCTATTTTTCTCAGAGCTAAGACGCCTGGTCATATCTTTTTCCAGCTCCTCTTGTATTTTACGAACCTCCTCCTTAACTCGAAATTCAACAAGTTTTTCAAGTTCACTAATAAAAAATTAAGGATAGAACTAGAGGCCGAGGCCTTGTAATAACCCAAAAAGACCTTTTGTGTTTGTCTTTTCTAACTCTTCCAAACTCATCAACTTCAAAAGTTGGACTTCTATGCCTTTTCCTAATTGGACTTCTACTTCTAGATCTAGATCTAGATTTATGACTACGACGTTTATGTCTGTTTTTATCCCTTTCTTTGTTCTTCTCCTTTTTTTTTAATTTATCTGAGTTATTTTCCCTACTAGGGTAAAGTTTCCTTTGTGCACTTTCACGGCTTTTGCTTAAACTTCTGCCTTCGCTTTTACCGTTTATAGGACTAGAGGAACGGTTTCTGGTTATAAAGTTGGTTGTGTTGTTAGGGCTATTCTGACGTTCAGACTCCATTTAAGCTAACGTAAAAAAGTATTTAAAGCAAAATATTTAGCTTATTATTAATAAAGTGGCTAATAATATAAACAGTGCAAAAAATTAACCCCTATACAGTAAGGTTGAAATCCCTCTAAAACAAATTTGATAAAACACTTTTTCAAAATAGAAGTCTAGAATTTTTATTTAAATATAATAGGCAACCGAATATCAGATATTATTAAATAATAATAATAAAAAACTTATGTGTAATAAACATGAATATCAAAAAACACGTTGTACGCTTTAGGTAAATAAGACAGTTAGGCAGTCCTAGGCCGGAGAGCAAATAATTAATCTGGTTCTGGTATTTGACCCTTTTTCCCCTTATAAAATAACACGTGAGTGGTCCCGTTAAGTTGCAGGACCCAATAAATAGGACTGAAAATTTTCATGTTAATGACCTACTAGCAAAGTTTTAAGATGTTTTCTGTGTAATTATTTTTAAAAGAGTAATACATAAAATCTTAATTTAAAACTACAGTCAGCTATCAAATACTATGAAAGCTAAACTGTCCTTAAATAATAAATGCTTTAAGCCTGATTTTCTTAACCTCTTTGTCTGAATTTTTTTATTTAGATGGCTACACTAATTCCCTCAGTTTTCTTAAAAACATTAGCAGATCCTCAATTTGGTTAGCCGTCTGGGTCTGGGATACAACTACCCATCAGTTTCTTAGGGTATAATGGCTGGCTCTAGGGAGTTAGAAAAACTCCCCACCATTCGGCCTAAGGTTATAATAAAAATCCTCTTAGAACAGGAGCCTTAAAACCGAAACCTTCTAGAACACCGGCCAGCTGAAACCAGTCCCCTTCGGTTATCAGCTTTTTACTTAAGACAAAAAGCTTTACTATTTTATTAACTTGAAGGGGTTCCCTTGGGTAAAAATTATTATTGACGGGTGCGGGTCTAAGAGCATGCGTCCTACTTTGCTTTGCCAGTATATATACGCTAGCTAGAATAAAAGATTCTTATATTTTAAGTTAAATCCTTGCCTTTATCTGGCGTTCTACTTGTATTGAAAACACATTGCTCTAGGCTTAAATTAGTAAGTAATAATTTTTAAAAGGTTACGTAAAACAGGTTAAATTCGTAAAGCCATCATACCGGGAGTGAGAGGAGTAGTTGTGCCTCAACGGTTAAGAGCACATTGACGCGCAGATCTAAGACCGTGGATTCCACTCTAACCGATGCGATTCTCTTTTCGATCATTGGCGGTTGTGTGTTTAACCCCCCTCAAAATCCTAATAAAGTAATGCTTTATACGATACGAAAACCCTAAATTTAAGAATTTTTATTATAATACTAAATTTTTGCATAGTTCAATTTTTACACCCCATACTAAATATCCATTACTATTTTACTTTTTTTTTCATCTTATTTGTTTAGAGGCCAATGTAAGTCCTGAGTAAAGTGATGCTATGAAGAAATTCGTAGCATAGTCAAACATTTATAAACTACCATAACTGCTAGGTTTTGAATAAAAATTTTGATAACGTAATCCTATAAGAAGCTCACATACTAACAAATATGAAGATATGTTACGCCAACAAGAAGTTTTTTTAAAAAAAAGTTACTTTCCCAAGCGTAACCTTTAACTTAATTAAAAATGAACTGGCTGGATTAACCGTGGAGGCTCAATATGAATGTAGTAAGGGTAAGTGAACAAGACGGAAGTAAAAATAATATGGCAACATTATATAATTTACGTGACAGACTAGTTCTTAAAAAATATATTACTGTACAAAAGGCGATAGGTTAGTACCGCTTAACTCATGGTTACTCTCACAGAAAAGTCACAATTTATAATTACTAGGTATAAAAAGCTCCGACAATACCGTTTATTGCTCTAAAATAAGGAGCAAAATAAAGCTGCTCATTAATAAAATCATTTGATTTATTACCTAATGACGACTCAGGGATATTAATCTTTATTATTTTAAACTTTATCCCTGTATTACAATTTTTTGCAGGAATTTTCATTATATCGTAAATTAGTGGTTTCTTTCTTTACTTATCACGCTTTTATGGGTTTTTCACTTTAATAATTTAATAAGTTCTGTCGAATTTACTAGACTAATGCTTCCGAGAACTATATATTATAGCTGAAAAGCAGAATATAGTTTTATCATAAATACAAAAAAACTCAATTTCTATTTGACAATTTTCGAACTGCCCGAGGAGAGCAACCCACCACGAAAAGAAGAAAGGAGAGGTGTGTGTGTATGCCACGCCTTTTATAACACCAATTAGTGGTACACTCCCAAGTTCCCAACACTCACGCTACATACATACAGTTTGTAAAACTATTTAACGCATTCTTTAACAATACTTCGCGGTAAGTCTGAAATATATAATTTCCATAATTATTTTAAATCTAAAATGCCCCAACATTTTTTATAAACGATTATTCTCATAGCCCTCGTTTATTTTTAAGTTCGGATCCTTTAAGCGCAAAGCCTTTTTATTTTTTTTTTCAAAATGAGAAACAGTTAAAAAACTTAAATATATCAATCCATTTTCTGTTGAATCTAAAACTTATTTAATAAAAGCATTTCTCTTTTTAAACAGCCAACTACTGTAAACACGCTTGATCTAACTTGGAATTGTCGTGAAACGAAGCTTATCCTTATCCTCCACAGATGCCATGCGCTCAAGTGTTTCAAAGTGCTCCTTTCTATCTCCTATGCTCCTCTCTATCAACATATCTAACTATTCACACCAACAACACTGAACTCGCTTTTTTTGCTGATAATGTGGCAATATAATCATTTTCAAGAAGTCATAAATTAGTTCACTTTTAACTACAGTTATCGCAAAACGAGAAAAATGGTATTCTAAAACTTTACATAAATTTTTTTAACTAAATTATTATTGAGCGAAATCCTCCGAAAAAAGGATTGCTTATTTACGACCCAAAAATTTCCGATGTTCTTAAGTCAAATAGCTATGGTAGTAATAAATTAAAGTAAAATAAGATAAATATATCAACTTTACTAGTTGAAAAGTAATACGAGCTGTGAGGCCGTTATATACATCTTTAAAAAAGTCATCTCATCTTTTTTTTGAAAAAAATTTTTTTTTTCAAAGCATATATTTACCCACTACTAATTTAGCACTCCCAGGGTTGCTGTCAGAAAAAGTTGCTTTCAAGACTGCAGGTTTATCAAAATCAGATGCTTTGTTACTTACAACTTTCCTTGGTTTACATTATAATATCAGCTCTACATTGTGATCTGAAGATCTCTAAGTTAAAAAATTATGTAAATTCTTTACCGAAAAAACCTTGCTACACACCAGCAACCTCAAATCAGAAGGTTTTAAGTTACGATCCTGAAGAAATAAAAAGTATCTTCACCCTCGACAACTACTATGATCTGAGTCTTATGAAGACCTCCTTCAAAAATACTTAACTAACCAACTCTGATGTACATACGTATAAAAGGGGAAGCGGTAAAAAGCTATAGAGCAATAGTCAGTTTGGCTGCATATCGTTGTTGCAATGAATATAAAAAAAAACAAACGTGATTGGTGGTCATGGGCTGATTCAGCACGTGGTAATGCACTCTAGATCTTAACCGCAAGACCAAGTGACGCATTGAAGTTAATTCCAATTAAAAACAAACTAGTTGCACTTTTTATATCTATATTAAATACGAGTTAATTGCGGCTTTACTGGTTTATAATAAAAAGGGGGCAGACATTATAAATTCCATAACAGCTCTTCTTTTAGCCTATAACTACGAATGTGTGATAATAGTTTAATACTTTAAGAAATTGCTGTGCACTTAGTAAGAAATGTTGTCTATCACCTAAATCCCTCAAAAGTATAGTCCCCATTAAGAACTTTTAGTCTCATTCAAAGTTTGAACCTGCCTTTAGGATGAAGAGTTAAATTCTCGGTCTACTTTTCCTTTAAAGACTGGAGGTCAAATTATTAAAGTAGATCTTAAATAATTAAATAGTTAAAGCAATTTAAGTTTATTATCTCTTTTGCAAAATTTTCTCATTATAACAGTGTTAAGATTAACCTTTTTTGCGATGTATGAGATCTATTTCAATTTGTATCTAATGTTCTATCCCACTCCTTGACTTTTGAAGCTGACGACAGAATTTACTCTAATCTGTAATTTAGTGCGAGTTATAACATTATCAAAACCGGAATTTCGAGAAAGAAGAGGGGTTGTATAAATCCTAGGATCCTTCTAAGGTTACTGAAAAAATTTTGGTGTATTAACTAATTCTCTTGAGTCGACCACATAAAATGAAGCTGGCAGTCAAGAATTAGAAGGACCTAATCACTTTTCGACCTTGACGAGCGATATCTTATTTATGCGACATTAAAAGATAGCTCTTTTGATCGTCACTTTCTTCTCTAAAAAAACTTTTTCTAATTAATACTTCCTTACTGAATAAATAGATCCTAAACCTCTGTAAGACTCAATTTCAAGAATCAACTAAATAGCAGCTGTTCTTATAGTACTTGAGTAAGAGACACCAAGCCCTGATCAGTTATTAATAATGGAAGTTAATAAAGTGATATAAACTTCACTCTTAACGATATTTAACGAAATCATGTAGAAAAAATTTGACATCTATCTCGTAAAAAAAAAGAGAGGAAGGTGGTTTACTGCGCTGCAAAAGAAAATCCGCATAATTTAATTAACCTCTCTATTCGTGCAACTTGATAAGTTCAACCTAGTTTTAGTTAATATGACCCTTAAGGTCGTCTATGAGACTCTATATTGAAGCCTATAAAGTGAGTAAAGTTAAGGTTTTATTTCAACTAAGATAGCAGTATTATGGGGTAATGAGCCTGACGCTGGGAATTTTAAACATTATTAGACTTATCATTTAAGTAGAGATTTGAACCAACTGCCCAACCATCACCCTTGGACAAGGTCCAAGCGCGAGCTTTAACAGTTTGTAGAGCGCTCATGCAAGGAATTACCGGTTTTAAATTCAGCTTAGCTGCGGAGTTGTCGTTGTAGTTCATCGGGTCAGAGCCTTACCGCGCAAACTCAAGCTCTCGAGAATTATTTTTGACAGAGCGTATTTAAAATACAATGCTAAAAAAAAAATAAATATACGCATCAATAAGATTAAATGCACTACAAGTAAAGCTAACACTATATAAATCCCATTTAGTTATAAAACAAGTTTCAAGTAGCTTGTATATACAGAAATTGACTCTTTCGCCTCATTATAAGTCATTGTACTGAGGATCTTAACAGTCATTACGATACGAAAATGCCTAAAAAAACTACAACTCAACGGCATATAAAAAGGTCACTT